TCGACTATTGCAATAATCATCAACTAATTTAGTAATTGATCCATCGTTAAATGGAATGTAGAGGCTCTAAAGTATGCCTTTACTGACAGAGCAACCCACTTAGAGCAGTAATTATACCAAAATTGTAAAAAAAAAATATATATATAAACATTTTGCATCAAGATTAAAAAAATCTTTTTTGTCTGTCTTTATGATGTATCCAGAACTCCTCAAGGGGAAAAGTTTTAGTTTCACCTTCCTTGAGGATTCTTTAGCTGCCCAATTATTAATCGAAAAATAATCAACAGATAAATTGATTTGCATTATAATCGTTAGTAGAAGCTCTACTTCAAAGTTTTCCTAAACCCGCAGGGGTTTTTGATTGGTGCATCTCATCAATAATTAAAAAACCCATTAATTCATATTCATTCAAAATGAAGCAGTAAGAAAAACAATTTGTGAAAAATTACAACAGAAAAGATTATTTGGCTATTTAAGTTTTTGATTTTTTCCCGAAACAAAAACGTAAAAATGTCTCCATCTTTTTCTCCTTTAAAGTGAAAAAGCAACCCCAAAATGAACACTAGCAGCAATTTCAATAAGTCAGTTTTGTTTGAAATTGTTTTTCACTTTTCTTGCAAATAATTCTTTCTTCAATTCACAAGATTATGGCGACAACTGTGATTCTGTTTAATGACTCTATCCACCTAATTAAAAACTTCACGACACCTGAAATGTCTTCTTACGTATCAGACGCTCCGATTTACAAGACTGTTACTCTTAGACTATAATCAAACAATAACTATGCTTGTATATTCCTCCATTGCAGCTCTGTTTTTACGACTAACCCTCTGATCTGCACAGCATTGCTGGGATATGAAGGCTGAGATCTTGAAGCTATAAGTTGAACCGTGAAGGAGAGAAAGGAAAGGGCAAAGCGCCAGTAAAAACAGTGGAAGTAGATGATGAGTCAGCTTTCTAGTTCGGTACAGCCACAGCGGCCAGCAAAGCATTACCGATCCCCGTAACCCCCCACCCACCCCCAAAAAGGAAAAAATAAAAGTTTGCAAAGGCTTTTAGAAAACACTGAATATGAAAATGTAGCTATTGGTAGTAGTTGAACAGTATAATACATTATTGTAAATATGGATATTGTGCAAGAACTCCAGTGGTATGCAGGTGGGGTAACAATTATATACATTTAGTTGAAGTCAATCCTGTACTGATCTCAGATTTAATAGTAGGAAAGAGACATTATATTAATATCTGAATGTCTCTCTGTTTCTTTAAAACCAACTCGGCTTTACTCCCAGATTTTGTCTTGAAGCAGGTTCTTTTATTTAAAACCTAAAAAGTTGTTGCCCATCTAACCAGCATGCTTTCTTCGACTAACATTATAGTAGATGTGACTTTTTGCCAAAGTAGTTTTAAGAAACCAAGGCTATTGGGTTCACTGATGTTTGAGATTTGCAACAGAATATGTATTGTTAACATCAGCTGTTAGAATCAGAGGTTTCTATTACCTGCAGCAACAGGAGCTGCTCTTTAATTAGCTTCTCTTTTCAACTTTTTCCCTCAAAGAAATGCATCAATGCGATTGTTTTCCTGAGCTGTTATTTGATTTATGGTTGGCAGCTTGTTTTTTTTTATTTTTATTGGAGTATCATTCATGTCAACGCTTAAGGGTGAATTTGGCCAAGAAAAAAGCAGCAGCTTGTTAGCTACAATATTGATCTAGTATGTAGAATGTCTTTCTAGTATAAGTTTGTTGAATATTGTAATTGAAAAGTAGAGCTTGGATGCAATTTCATTTAGGCTGTTGTATTTTGTGCGCCATGTGTAAACATAGTCAGATTTGAGGGACAATGTTGCTCAAACTTGAGCGGTGGGGATCACATTATGCAAAAGAGAGGAAATAGGAAATAGAAACCTCACCTATCTTTTTGCTGATGCTGTCACTGATGCTCTTTTCTAACTGATTTAACTTTCCACATTATATCTAGGTTGACAGAATGAAACCCACAGTTATGGCTGAAAACTTTCAATCTAGATCTCCCTATCATGTGGAAATTTGGACCTGTCAGAGTTGCAAAACTCAAAGATCAACCAGGGGAGATTTCAGGCTGAGTCAGCGCCCACCACCAGCATACCACAAAGAGGACACTGAAGCTGTATTCTAGTGGATACTGATAAAAAACAAAAACCTGCAAGATTCCAGTCTACAGTATCTACGAAGCGGAAGGAGAGGGCATTGAAGCCACACTGTAATACAGAATAATAAACCAGTTTTTGTTAAGGCTGCACAGCACCAATGGATAACAGAATCAGTTTCAGATTTGATCTGAAAAAGTTGAACCTCATGTACCGAAGTTCCTTTTAACCGTTTGCACTGTGCAGCCTTAGCATTTGCTACTACATGTTTAGGCCGTAAATGTTAGGCCTCATCTAATACCACTGTCTACAACATCAGGCTACTTTGAATATTGAAACCAAGATTACAATTATCTGTCTTGGCGACACATGAACAGCAACTAACACCCGGAGGACGGTCCTGTAGGCTGCAATGATACTTCACCACATCTTCACTTCAAAAAACATGTTCTCTAGTTGTTGTTGTTGTGTGTCTGCGTTGTAATGATCGTCTGTAATAGCCAACGTAGAAGTCCAAAATCCTCCAGGCTATGGTAGAAATTCAGAAATTGCTTATGGATATTTTCTCACAATTCAGCACAACCATGTAAACCGCCTATGATGGCTACCCCTGAAGGACAAAAAGGACACAGTGCCATCACTTGTCATAAAACTCTGTCATTAGAGGGCGTTTCTCTCTGAGTAAGTCAGGACCACATATCCATACAAAACTATTCATCTCTTACGTTATAACCCTGTTGATACCAGCTTGTGTGAATCCCTGCATGTGATTTTGCAGGAGCTGTGTTAGATCTTCATACTTAAGCAGCATTAAGGTGTTTATGTTTGTGAGTCTGTGTTAAGTGACCAGCGGTTTGCTGTAACAGGCCCTGTGAATATAGGTCAGGGGGGAAAAGCCCGTTACATTGGTGACTACAGCCATAATAAACCAAACAGACCTGGAGGTCACTTACAGAGCTGTCTGTCACCTTTTCGTCCTCACTTTATCTTGCGATCCAGAGACAGAGTGCATGTATGTGTGTTTGTGTAGACAAGATGTAAATATGCTGCCTTGTTACACAGATCTGCTCTTTGGCATGGTCACTCTTGAACACCAGTTAGAATGAGTCTGTACAGAAGAAAATAAAACAGAGCAGAATGGACGTATATCTCTACTTAAAGGCTTGTGTGTCGACCTGGGTCAAGCAGCCCTTACAAATCATTTTTCCTAATTTATTTCAACACATTTTGCGTTGATAGGTCTGAGCGCCCCAGCGGAGAATGACCTGTCCGTATCTGGTAATAAACATAAGTCAGAACTGTTGAGCCCAGGGCTGATGGACACACTCAGAGAAGACACTTGCTCAGTAGTAATGTTGTAGGAAACCAAACTATGACACTGGCCAAACAAGGTATCTCATCAAACACACCTCACTTTGACATAGATATTATGTAGTATATATAATTTTACATTTACATTTTCTTTAATCTTGTCATAATCATTTTAAAAAGATTTTCATTTACCCCTGAGAATACCATAAACTGCCTCTTGAGTACAAAATACAACTCTCTTGGATAATGGCAAGATCGTTAAGTTTGCTCTAAAACAAAAAAGTTTGGTTTGGTAACTCAGGAGGGGCTAGACGCTGATTCTTATGTTTTTTCCATTAGTTTAGGATGTGGTATGCTTGCACTAGAGCCATAAGATACAAGAGCTTGGTCAAGACAGGCTTAAAGGGGGCTATGCTGGTGTCACTATCTGCTAAAAAGTGCTGTATTTGCACCAAGACATTAAAAACTGCATAGATATACATAACGACCTGAAGTAACCAATTTATTTGGACATTTTTCATCTAAAGGACTTAGACAATAATATTTAGAAAGGGGGAAAAAAGAAACTTTGAGAAACAGTGTGTAACTGGGTTTTCATTAAAATTATTTTTTTTCCCACCGTCAGTGAATGCGCAATACCTAACTGAGCAACAACCTTCAGTGTGGAATTGGCTACTGAAAGAAGAGGACTTAAAGAAAACCATTTTATCTGTTGGTGCAGTGTTTAACTGTAAGTCTGTATAACACTGAATAATCAAGAGAAATAATTCTACCAGGGATGTTAGCTGAGAATTTAGCAGATAACAAGATGTCTGAATGTATTGTTTAAGAAAGTGTTATCTTTTCAAACTGTAATTCAAACTGTATGGATTTAGATATTTTGAGGTGAAAACTTCAGCAACACATAAAATATTTAGTACAAACTCCATTGGACCAAAACAGAAAACATTAGTTTCTTGAAATTACAGTGTTTAAATTAGCAAACTTATAATTACAATTTGCTCGACTTGAAGGGTAATGGAAACGCAGCTAATAGCCCCATTTACGTCGAAAACCGTGCCGACAAAACCGTCCGTCGAAAACCGTGCCGACATTGGTCCGAGGACGGTAACCGAGATAACTGTTGAGTGTAAATTGCACGCAAAACTGAACCCGACCATGCAGACACAATCGAACGATCGTTCTGGCTCTGTTCCCAGATAACAAAGAGTGCATGAACAGACCGCGTCATTACCTTAACGTCGTTTCCTGCGTTTAGGAAATAACGCAGGGTGGTGTA